AAACAACCGGGACACAATGTTAATTGAAGACATGTTCTATGCGTGAAACGAGATGCATATTCTATGCATGAGTGACATGAGCATGTTCTACGCACAATTCAAAAAAAAAAAGATGCAAGGCGCACGTGCAACATATGTACATGAGGAAAGAAAGATGACAAAGATGCTATTTCGATTTAAACTAAGAAAAAACAATACATAAGGCAACCTTCGATTGACCTATCAGAGACTTAGAAACAACAAAAAGATACACTTCGTTCACAACGGCAAATGGGACATAGTCACGCGCCAGAACGCGGTTGTAAGCTTCCAAACTAAGAACCTCTCATATACCACTCAGGAAACAGAGGCAAAAAACAACACCATGACACCAGAGAGGGCCACCAGCCACTTGTTGGCCATTGGAGAGGGTTGCCGTCCTTGACTTACTGTTGTTGGCCACAAAAGTGGACTGCTGGCCACCAATGGTGGCTTGCCAGCCACCCGTGGAAAATTGAGGGCTTTTTGGACATTTTGCCGCAGGTCTTTAAGTATAGAGCTTGGGGCCTCATTTCCGCACAACTCCACATCCGAAATTCCTCCCTCTCTCTCTCTCTAGGTATTTTCCTCTCTAGATTTGTGCTTTCAATGTGTTTTCCAACGCCCCACGCGAAGTTTATTCGCTAAACCCTCTTTGTTTCCTCCGTTTTGAACTTATTGAAATTTGATTTCGACATTTTTTTTTTGGAGTTTCACCGCTTGAGGCTTGTTCCCCATGAGTTTCTCTTGGGTTTTATGCCTTTTCTCGGACTTTGACTTTTCCTTCCATTTTCTCTCTCCTAGGGTTGACTTTTTCCAAGTTTGCTCTTTTTCCTCCGTTTTACTTCATTTTTCACCCACTTTCTCATCTTCTTTCCAGATGGCAGACGATCTACCCCATGACAGAGCTCCCCTCAAGATTCCATCCCAGTTATCACCTCCGACAGAGATGAAGGCGGATTTCGCTCCTAAATCTGAGCCCGAGATACTATTGTTGGGAGTACGCCCCTTCGATCTGACGACATACCATCCCCAGATATATGTACTGCCACCCGGGGGTATTAGGCACTTTAGAGAGTTTGTGTGATGCGCGCGAGAGGACCTCTTGCTGCGGGAGCCAGACTCCCATTTGTCCCATGGCGCCCCTGAGGTACACATTGTATTCTCATGCTTTCTTCACTTTACATTGCATTTCTTGCTTTAACTGTATTCCTTGCTTCAACTGTATGGTTACACTGCATTTTTTGCCTCTTGCTGCATTTCTTGCCTTAATCACACACTTGCACTGTATTTCTCACACTGCCTTTCATCTGCTTGTTCTCATATCACTGTATATCACTGTTCTGATCACAGGACGACTTTCGCTCCATCAGGGGCTATAGAGCCACGACAGCGAGGGACTGGTATCTGGAGCTCCCTAGTGGTGTACGCGACATCATCGATGAGGCTAGCTTTGGCCTGTTCTACACTGGCCTATCACGCCACATTGCGAGTCGACCACTTCTTGGCACACTGGTGGAGCGGTGGTGGGATACCACTAACTCATTCTACTTCTCCACTGCCAAGGAGATGATGATGACTCCATATGATTTCTCCATGCCCACCTCTTTTCAAACCGGCCATGGTTCGATACAGCTGGTTCGCTGAGCACTTTCGCGGGAGAGAGCCACAGACCCTAGAGGAGACTGAGCATTATGCCCGGGGCTTTTTAATGTTCCTCTTCGGTACTACCTTGTTTGTAAACAGGTGGAACACCGTAGGACTATATCTACTGAGCGCCTGGTGACCCTACCTCAGGTCTGGCTCTATGACTGGGGAGGAGCTGGCCTCGCCACACTATATGGCTATATGAGCTTGACATCCCGCAGGAGGGAAGACACGGTTAGAGGCTATTGGCGAGCCTGGGAGGTGTGCTTTACATTTCTGCTTTACATTTTCCATCTTCTATTTCTATGCTTTTCACTTTGCACTTTCTGTGCATTGTATACTGCATTCTTTACATCTATACATTGTGCTTTCTGCATCGCACATTTTGCATTCTCTGTGTCTATGCACTATATGTCTGTATTCTGCACTTTGCATTCTCTATATCTGTACTTTGTATACACTGTACTATACATTTTGCTTTTTGCATTCTACATTCTGCATTTTCTGTATCTATACATTGTATACTCACTGTTGCCTTTTCCTTGCAGCTCTGGGTATATGCATATTTCCCGACCCTTGCTTCGGAGCCAACGGAGGAGATTCCCCTCGTTGTGCCGTACTCTCATTGGTATGATGACAGATGCTTGCGTAGGACCTGGGAGACCTTCATATTCTTCCGCTAGTACTTTGACATAGTGACTGCAAATGAGGTAACCCAAAACTCACAGTTATCTTCACTTTATCAGCAACTGATGAAGACTAACAATCTGTATATTCCCTGTTTGCAGATCACCTGGCATCCTTGGGCGACGATGCTGGCTGGAGTTCGGAACCAGTACGCTGGAGCTTGGGGGCCCCCTCGCTTTCGGCTTGTGTTGGAAGGCCTAGTTTGTCGAGTCTGGTTTCTGGGCGAGCGATTCATGCGCCAGACTATGGGTTTGCTTGAACCAATAGTTCCCATGCTTCCCCCAGCATCTACAAGGACTACAGAGAGCCTCTCCTTCCAGGAGATCATCTAGTTCACAGGGTGCTTGGACGTAACTACTTCCTTGGGGAGGGAGACTACTCAACATTCATCCAGACATATCTCATGCCTCCCTTGATGGGTGCTTATGCAGGCAGAGCAACAGGTGCCCCCATGGCAGGTAGGATTCTAGCGACGAGGGCCAAGACTGGAGGGGCTCCTCCCGCTGGATAGGTTACCGATTGGCTAGAGATCCCGACCATGCTGACATGCTGGAGGCCGACCGGGACGACCTACCAGATTCTGATCGAGCCAGTGGAGACTGGGCATAGATACATCAGAGCTCGCGATGCACCTCCGGTATGTATCACATTGTATCTAATATGCTAATACTGTATCTCTTCAGATTCCGGCAGCACCGAGAGCACCAACGGTGGTGACTGCACCTGTACCATCACCACTTCCTTCAGTAACAGAGAGGGGGGGGAGAGATGGACCCTAGCACGTAACCGAGAGGAGCATCGTGGTTGAGGCCAAAGGAGCTCCTTGGAGCTAGTGTTGAGTGGTGACAATGCTGAGACCAGTGACTCCGAGGAGGTAGTGAGTCCGCAGTCTGAGTCCTCTGAGAGTGGAGATGACGGTGGCTCGAGATCTGAGAGCAGAGGCGATGCTGAGTTAGGCTCTGAGGCAGAGAGCGACGATGATTCCAATTTCAGCTCGGCATTTGATTTAGACAGTGGCACTAATAGAGACAGCTCCAAGTCCCCACCCAGGTAGAGAACGAAGAGGGCCTTTCGAGCCTGAGATGACTGGCGCTGATATATTTGTATTTTTGCGTAGTTTCTTTTTGTTTGGTAGCATTAGCACATGTATAGCTTTAGGAAGTTCTATTTTGCTTTCAAACTTGTACTCCTCTTTTGTAAAAAAAACCATGATCGAAATAAAACCTCGTAGTTTTCATGAAAAGAGTGTTGTCATTTTTGTATCATGAGCACCATATATACATAAAATAGACAAGGAATTGAAATGGCCAAGAGCACTTGATTAAAACAAAATGGTTAATCGAGCAATGAACCAACCAACAACCAAAATATAAAATGCAACCAAGGTTCTGAAAAGCGGTTGCGGTCGCCGTAACGGTAGCGGTGGCGCGGTTGTGGTTGCGGGGTGTAAAGGCCGCAGCGTAACGGTTGCGGTTATCGGAATTGTGAATTTTTTTATTTTTCGCACAATTTGCAAAAAGCTTACCGATACGCATATTTTTTTTATAATCATATTTTTTGGGTTTTAAAATAAATTTTGATAAATTTTTCATAATTTTTAAGTATGATGCATGATCCAATATATTTCATATTTTTAAATCACTATAAAATAATTTTTTTTACATTTTATTTCAATAATTAATGACTTTATATGCCATAAATCCATGTTACACTTGTGGTAAAAATTTCTTTTATTGGACTTAGATGTATAAAATTATTTTTAATTATTATACTTGTGGAAGCATATGTGCATTTTAACTCAAATAGTTTTAAAAAAGTATACATTCTTAATGGAAGAACTTGACAAAGTACATAACATCATAGCATAAATCACAAATAATAGAGAGTACATTTTACATAATTTTACTACTAAAATTACATAATGTCACCACCAAAATGAGTGACGTGGTGCATCTTGAGATTCAGATTGTTGAGCTTGATTTTTGCTGCTACCTTCACCCCGCCAAAATGAGTGACGTGGTGCATCTTGGGAATCAGATTGTTGAGCTTGATTGCTACTACCTTCATCCCATTCAGTAGGAAATACATAAGCAAATGTGCTCATCATGTCATCCCTTTCTGTTTCGTGCATTGGGAGAGAAAATGGATACCTTGGCTGAAAAGGATCAACATACTCTTCTTGAGTTTGTTGATAATTTGGCAAATTGTATCCTAGAGGACCATGTTGTTGAGGGGGCCAAGGATAATTTTGTTGAGGTGGGTAAGGATAACTCTGGCTATCACTGCTATAGGATGGGTGAGGGTGATATGGATACTATGACCACTATCAGATGAATCAAGCTGTTGTTCTCTACTTCTTATTCTTCTTTCATCCCTATGTGTATCACTACCACGAAACCTCCTAGGTAGTTGGGGTAAAGGTGCAACAGGTTCTCCAATATCATAATGTTCCCCAACATCACATAATCCAAATCCTCCAATAAAATCTTCACTTCCTGCACCAAAACTAGTACCATCACCGCCATCACCACCATTGTCACCGCCACCACCACTACCACTGTCACCGTGAGAAGTGCCTTCACCATCACCATCATCACCTCCTCCATTAGATGGTGTCAAACCACCACTATTATCACTTTGAGTTGGAGTAGGAGTTGAGCTTTGAGAAGTGCGTCGAGCTTAATATCTATGGGTGCCACCACCATCGTTTCCATCGCTGCCATCGCCATTGCTGTCGTCGCCACCACCACCACCATCATCTGAGACCAAATCTAGCCATTCAGAATTATCTACACCATCTAGTAAATGATTTTCCCTTTCTTCTATCCATGGACTTATTGGATCATCTTCTTCAAATATGTAATCCAAGTTAATAGGATTAAAACTCCTATCAATCTCCTCTTGGCTGCTTCTTTTAACATGTCTCAATTTTAATCTCATGTTGTAGGTGATGAAGACTAATCTTTGGATTTTCTTATATTTCAATCTATTCCTCGTCTTCGTATGGATGAGACTAAAAGTACTCCAATTACGTTCACAGTGAGATGATATGGTGGTTTGACTTAATACTTTCACAGCTATTTTTTGAAGTTCAGGAGCACAACTGCCATGAATAATCCACCACTCAGCTGCACAAAATTACATTACATTAGACATAAGTCAAAATATGATAAAAAATTATTTAAGTATTTATATATTGTAAATTTGTAATTTTGAAAATAAAACCTGGATTTGATTGTTTCCATGCTCTTTGTGCTAAAGGAGTACCAAAAGTTTCCTGTTTATCTCGAAACAGCAACAACTACAATTTGGACAATCATTACAAGTAACATTTGCAAAAGTAGATTATTACTATTAAAATTTAAATAATTGGTACGTACTTGATTTGTTGCTTTCACTTGAGCATCCATATTAGGCTCCAGTCTGGTAATTACTTTTTTAAGTCCATCCATCACTTCTCTTATCATTTCATTGGATGAGGTAACACCATATTGGAATTGAGGATTTAAAAAATATCCTTCAAAAATAAGAAGACAATTAATAATTGTAAATAAATATACATTTTATAATTGAAATCGTAACACTTACCAGCCGCATGCAAATCTTGATGCAATTGAAAAGACCATACTCGGTGTAGTAGCGACAATCTCTTTTAATTGCCAACTTTGCTCTATCTACAGCTTCATATATGAAACCCATTGTTGGCTTCTCATCTCCATCAACCAACCTCAATACTCTGACTAGGGGCTCATGAACTTTACAAAGCTCTGTTGCTTTCTGCCAAAACTCCTTTCCCAAAATAATTTTTTCACATTGTAAGGCTGCCCAGTCTTTGCCTTCCCCCATCTAGAATTCTTCCACTCATCACTATTAAACATAGCTCTCAATTGTTGTTTATATCTAACAATACTCTCAATGGCAATAAAATTTGTAACAAATTGAGTGATGGCAGGTCGAATCAATTCTCTACCTCCAGTGAATTTTCTCATTAAATCCAACACCCATCCACTATTATAAATGAAATTGGTGATGGTTTTACCATCTTCAATCACCTTTGCTACACTTTTCTCATTGGCTATGTCTTTTAGCATGAGATCGATACAATGTGCTATAAGTAAATGTGCTCATCATGTCATCCCTTTCTGTTTCGTGCATTGGAAAAGAAAATGGATACCTTGGCTGAAAAGGATCAACATACTCTTCTTGAGTTTGTTAATAATTTGGCGAATCGTATCCTAGAGGACCATGTTGTTGAGGGGGCCAAGGATAATTTTGTTGAGGTGGGTAAGGATAGCTCTGGCTATCACTGCTATAGGATGGGTGAGGGTGATATGGATAACTATGACCACTATCAGATGAATCAAGCTGTTGTTCTCTATTTCTTATTCTTCTTTCATCCCTATGTGTATCACTACCATGAAACCTCCTAGGTAGTTGGGGTAAAGGTGCAACAGGTTCTCCAATATCATAATGTTCCCCAACATCACATAATCCAAATCCTCCAACAAAATCTTCACTTCCTGCACCAAAACTAGTACCATCACCGCCATTACCACCATTGTCGCCGCCGCCACCACCACTACCGTCACCGTGAGAAGTGCCTTCACCATCACCATCATCACCTCCTCCATCAGATGGTGTCAAACCACCACTATTATCATTTTGAGTTGGAGTAGGAGTTGAGCTTTGAGAAGTGCGTCGAGCTTAATATCTATAGGTGCCACCACCATCGTTTCCATCGCTGCCATCGCCATTGCTATCGTCGCCACCACCACCACCACCATCTGAGACCAAATCTAGCCATTCAGAATTATCTACACCATCTAGTAAATGATTTTCCCTTTCTTCTATCCATGGACTTATTGGATCATCTTCTTCAAATATGTAATCCAAGTTAATAGGATTAAAACTCCTATCAATCTCCTCTTGGCTGCTTCTTTTAACATGTCTCAATTTTAATCTCATGTTGTAGGTGATGAAGACTAATCTTTGAATTTTCTTATATTTCAATCTATTCCTCGTCTTCGTATGGATGAGACTAAAAGTACTCCAATTACGTTCACAGTGAGATGATGTGGTGGTTTGACTTAATACTTTCACAGCTATTTTTTGAAGTTCAGGAGCACAACTACCATGAATAATCCACCACTCAGCTGCACAGAATTACATTAAACTAGACATAAGTCAAAATATGATAGAAAATTATTTAAGTATTTATATATTATAAATTTGTAATTTTGAAAATAAAACCTGAATTTGATTGTTTCCATGCTCTTTGTGCTAAAGAAGTGCCAAAAGTTTCCTGTTTATCTCGAAACAGCAACAACTACAATTTGGACAATCATTACAAGTAACATTTGTAAAAATAGATTATTACTATTAAAATTTAAATAATTGGTACGTACTTGATTTGTTGCTTTCACTTGAGCATCCATATTAGGCTCCATTCTGGTAGTGACTTTTTTAAGTCCATCCATCACTTCTCTTATCATTTCATTGGATGAGGTAACACCATATTGGAATTGAGGATTTAAAAAATATCCTTCAAAAATAAGAAGACAATGAATAATTGTAAATAAATATACATTTTATAATTGAAATTGTAACACATACCAGCCGCATGCAAATCTTGATGCAATTGAAAAGACCATCGAGTATCAATAATTTTCCAATAGTCAGTGTAGTAGCGACAATCTCTTTTAATTGCCAACTTTTCTCTATCTATAGCTTCATATATGAAACCCATTGTTGGCTTCTCATCCCCATCAACCAACCTCAATACTCTGACTAAGGGCTCATGAACTTTACAAAGCTCTGTTGCTTTCTGCCAAAACTCCTTTCCCAAAATAATTTTTTTCACATTGTAAGGCTGCCCTGTCTTTGCCTTCCCTCATCCAGAATTCTTCCACTCATCACTATTAAACATAGCTCTCAATTGTTGTTTATATCTAACAATACTCTCAATGGCAATACAATTTGTAGCAAATCGAGTGATGGCAGGTCGAATCAATTCTCTATCTCCAGTGAATTTTCTCATTAAATCCAACACCCATCCACTATTATAAATGAAATTAGTGATGGTTTTACCATCTTCAGTCACCTTTGCTACACTTTTCTTATTGTCTATGTCTTTTACCATGAGATCGATACAATGTGCTGAGCAAGCTGTCCAATATAAATGTTTCCTCTTTCTCATTAACATTTTACCGGCAGCTTTCAATGCAGGTTCATTATCAGTTACCACTTGAACAACGTATTGTTCTCCAATTTCATCAACAACTTTATCTAACAACCCAAAATAATATTCAGCAGTCCTACTAATAATATTAGTGTGCTATCCCTATTCCGTAATATTTTAATTGGTCCTTAACATGAATGTGATTATGTGTTTAATATGATTTTGTGTGCCATCATGTGAAAATATGTGGTTTTGAATTTCTATCTGTTCATCGTAAGAATATCTGTTTGATTATCTGCTTTGGAAATTAATTTGAAGGCCTTATCGGCCATGAAACCCGAAATTGATTGCGCCATTGTGATTAGCGTAATGTAATAACCCACATTTATATCTTAGTCATGTTCATGAGCATTTGTATGATTACGACTCTTTAAGCTTGCATTTGTATGTTTGTGACTTGTTTTGACTAAGTAAGGTCCATGCCTTATTTTGTTGCCTATCTGAATTGTCTAAGTGTTGTGTGCTTGCTTTGTTCCTCCCTTGGTACCCAAGTCTAAGTTATGTTTAGCCGAAGTTATGCCAAGCCTAGGTTACGTTACGCCTAGATCATTCCAAGCCGAGGTCATCTTCAGTCTAGAAGTATCTTGGAACTCCTTCATTTGACCTCCACCTTTGCTTTGACATATCGACCGGGATGTCATTATCTAAGCCGAAGTATGAATCACCAAGGCCGAGATGTGTATTATTTAGGCCGAGATGTTACCTTTGCACCTGAGTGATCTTGTCCTGGAGTGGTATGACCTAGACCGAGGTGTGGCACATCTAGGCTAAGGTGTGGCACAGCTTAGTCAAGTGTTGTCCTTCCTAGCCGAGGTCATTGTCACCTTAGTTGCCGAAGCCTTGTTGTTAGCCGATGTCACCCCTTGCCGGAGTGCCATTCCGAGTAGCTTGTTATATACGCTTTGTCATTGCATTGTCTTGTCAATCTATCACCTTTTTGAAGTGAACCAACCAGCCGTGGCCACGTGTCCGAGCTGAGAGTTAAGTCAGCCGATAGAGAGAGAGAACCCATCATTTTGTTGTATACTTGTTTTGAAGAGGAGAGAGAAGCTCTAGGAGAGGAAGAAGAGTTCTTGAGAGAGAGTGGATTTCCAAGCTTGATCCCTAGAGATCGAACCGTTAGATCCGTGTTCTATGGTTAGATTCTTGATCTGCTCATGTTGTTCTTTATGTTCATGTTTTTGCATCTCATGATTGAATATGATTTGTAAGCCATGCATTGCTTCAAAGTTCGGTTTTAGAAAGAGAAAATGACATTCATGTGTTTTTCAAGGAAAGTCATGTTTTGATCCGAAGGCTCATGCCTAGATCCATGTTTTTGTGTTTGTTTTCGCATGATTTTCAAGTATGGGTACCCAGGTCCATGTTTTCGAACTCATAGCATGAAATCCCAGATTTTGTAAATAAAGAAGTTATGATTTTGGCATTCATGTTCTTCATGATCTTCATGTTCATGTTCTTCCTGTTCTTCATGGGTGGAAGCCCAGATCTCTAGACCTCACTTCTCGAAGTGTAGTCGCCGAGATCACTCTCACCTAGACCTCGCACTTAGGCCAAGTATCGTATCTCACCTTGGCCTACCTTTGCATGATCACTTACACCTTAGTTTGCCTTGTGCTCACCTCGGCGTGCAGCCGCATGCCGAAGCCTAGGTAGCCACACCTCGGCCAGGAGGTGTGGGACCTCGGCAAAGACCTGGTTGGTACCCAGCATGTCTTTCTGACATGTAAAACAGTGTTTTGACTTCCAGCATGTTTTTCCGAGATCATCGCATGCATGTGAGACCTGTTTCGAGAAGTGCATTCAGTATGCTTTGTTATGCGTTTGTAGGACTTGGACCTTTGCCTTGACCCTGACGTCCCAAGAACTAATTGTAGACGTCCCCGAATGCCCCGCGAGGGTGAGCTCCCGTTCCATTCGTTTTGGGGGTCACTACAGCTCCGACTCGATTTGTGTCACGGTTCTTAATCTTAAACCAAAGAGTCCAACTCTGGCAAATCGTTTTGAGAAAAACAGATTTTGAAAAGAAGTGCCCAAACATGGACTTGCTTTGCCAGATACAGAGTCGCCACCTAAATATTTTTTTGTAGGGGAATTTAGGAAACCCTGACTCGTGCCGAGCCCAATGTCCGTCATTCACCGGAGTTGTCTTGGCTCGGGAGTAGGGGTACGATAGGGAAGGTCAGCTATGAGCAACCCCCTCTCGCCCGGATCCGGAAGATGGCCTCTACTAACAATGAATATTCGGTTTTTGAAAACGTATGTGTTCTTATTCCAGTTATTTAGCCTAGAAATTACTATGTTATGCGTGCAGGCAAACAAGTATAGACTAGATTGCCTAATTTTGGAAACAAGCATTTCATATTCGTTTGTTTTGAAAGCGCTTTGGAGTTTGCCTACTCGCAAGTAGGCTAACAAACACCGGATTCAACGAGTTTTTCCAACTCAACAAATCCAACCTTCACCCACAAGGCATCCAAATTAATTATATCACTGAAAGCATTTAGCCAGCCATATGGCAGCATTATGTTTTCATTGGGCAACACTCGCCACGCATGCGGTATGCTAAAGAAGGAATAATACTTACATAGTACTCTTGTGCCAAAACAATAAACTAGTTAGGCAAACATTGCGTTGATCCTTTAGTCATGTTAGAGTGGCTAATGCCAACGGCATGCAAAATGCAATTAGAAGTATCGTCGCAACCTAAGCATGCATGTGAAATGCAACCAATTTATTGCACGATTCATTTGGAATTGAATATAATGCAGTTGCGTGATGCTACCGAGGCCGGTTGCATGCGAAACAAATGTATGGATGCACGCATGGTAGCATAAGGTATGCTATATAAACATGTTCCTATTA